GGCTCAGAGAGCAAAGTGTCTGCCCACGACACACAGTTAGGAATGAGCAGAGAGCCAAAGTCCCGAGCCAAGGGCTCCCTGACACGTCCCCCTGAACCACGCTGTGTCCAGGGAGGGCCATCACTCACTGTTTTTGCAGTGGACCTGGTTTGGTCCCTGTGGGTCCCCGTTCCAAGGCCCCCCCTGCCCAGCTAACTGGGCCTCACAATTCTGCATCTGCCCAATCATTGGAAAGTTGCTTTCCTCCACCCCCAGGAAACCCCAGAAGGGCCAGAGTTCGTAGAGCCCGTGTCCACAGCTGATGCTGGGGAAACAACATGGGCATTCAGAAAGCTGGAGCTGCTGCTTCTCATGCTCAATGATAACACTTGCATAGCTGCAGCAAACCAAGAAAGGAACTGCAAATAAGCACATCCTGAATGGACCCAGGAAATAAAACCCAAGGGATACCCTACAACAATACACTTCTCTCCCCTGTAGGGTTTATTTCCAGACCATAAAACTCATTGGATGGAGTGGGACTGGGGGACAGCTGGCACATCCCCCGAAGTTCTCCCCTAGAGCCCTGCCCTTCACCTGTTGCACAAGCCATTGGACGATAAGGGAAGCACAGGTGTCTGGGGAGCACTTGGCATCTTGCTCTCCATTTTCTTTCTCTGTCCCAAACAAGAACACACATGCCCAGACATTGCCTGGTTCTCACTGGAAATGCATTTCACTGGTGTCCCTTAGAAGAATTACGTCTAGAGTCTTGGCATAACTGTCCTAGACAACCAGAAGTCTTGAGCTGGGAGTACCTGCTGAAGGTACTAATTCCACAGACCTTTCCCAAGCACCTGCCATGTGTCAGGCTCCATGCTGGGTGCCGAAGACAATGAAGAAATCAGATATAAGTCCTGCCTTGGTCTGGAGGGGGAGACAGGTAGCTCAATAGGTGTGATAACATGCACGCATGCAAGGACAGACTCCTAAATAGGGTAGTGGAGGTAAAAATGGGGACGCCATCAGTTGCTTGGTGATGCAGGTTGGGGGGGGAGGAGGGTCAAAGAAGGCTCCAAAGCAGAAGAAATCTCAGAGCTGTGTGTTAAAGGCTCACCAGGTGTTTTCCAGGTACCTGCAGACAAGGCAGCAGGGAGGGACATGTACAGCAGCAGAGGAAATAGGACTGGAGCAGAGGACCTTGAGGAGCCGTGGGCTCAGCTGTTGCAAGCTGTTCTGCAGAGCTTGAGTATGGGGTGTGGCAAGAAATAAGGCAGGACTAGGTGGAGGGCCTGAGAAGCTTGGAGCTGAACCCAAGGATGCCGAGCCACTGAGAGGTTTTAAGAGCCGAGAGGACATGCTTTGAGTGGAGCCTTAGAAAGGCTGCTCTGGCTACCCTGCAGAGGATGGGATGCAGAAGTGAGGAGCACAGAGCTGACGGCCCAAGGCCAGTTAGGAGGCCAATACCTGAAGGCCAGAATTTCTATGGGAGCCCAGCACAGTTTCCAGAGCTCTCCATGGCTCAAATACACACATACACACACCAAAACCAAAACCAAAACCAAACCCAAACCCAAACCCAAACCCTAACCAAAACCAAAACCAAACCCAAACCCAAACCAAACCAAAACCCAAACCAAAACAAAAACCAAAACCAGACTAATGTGGTGCATATACTACTGTTACCTACTTTCAGTGGATTAGAAAACTAATGAACAGAGATTAAGTCACTTGCCTTAGGACGCACAGTAGGTAGACTCAGGATTTGAATCCAGGTGGTACAGTTTGACAGTTCATGGTCTTAGCTCTGGACGAATATGCAGAGCTGTCCATCAAAGATGACAAAGGCTTGAGGCCAGACAAGACAGTTAGAGGAAAGTATTCTGGATAGACTAGATTCATACTTGGGACGCTCCTGAAAGAGCTTCTGGCTTCTACAGAGAGAGGGGCCACACCATTGATTCTGAGGGCCTTGAAAAACCTACAGCGTGCAATGTCCAGGAGCTGGAAACTCCCAGGACAGAACCATGATAAGAAGTCCCTGGGGTCACTTTGAGTTCCAGGAACACACACCTCTGGGGAGGAGAGTGTGTGTGTGCCTGCAAACTTCAGATGCAGGGAGACAGAGTACAGGGAGGTAAGAGAAGGGTGTGCCCAGTGAGGACCTTGCTCTCCTCAACTTCTTAACTACTGACCCACTCAACTCATGGCCACACCTGCTGTGGAGGCTGAAGTCAGGTGGCTCCTGAAGGGGCAGTGTCCTCCGCCCACAGAGGTAAGTTATGCTCTGTTACACAAGGCCAAGGCTCTGACCACCTGGATTGCCTATGGAGTTGCTGCACTTCCCACTGCGCAGCTCCTAGGAGGGACAGAACTTGGAGGGGGTGGTAGGAGTCCTACTCAGGAGTCCTCTAAGGAAAAGAGCCCCAGAGTCAGAGAGGAAGCGTTCCCTGTGGCCTCTGTAATGCATTGGGTGGTATGCAAAGTTGGGCTTTGAATTTGCTGGCTGTGGGCACTGGCCAGCTTTTTAGAGCCTTGTTTTCCTTATTTTAAAATGAGAATAAAACTCACTGTTAACGCAGGGCTGTGGTGAACATCGAAAGTGAGTACTGGCTGTTAGAATGCAATTCCATACACTTTGTAAAGCAATCATCAGCTGTTTAGAATTACATTTGATGGGCTGTGCTGTACAACTTGGAGCGGGAGCGAGGGCCTGCTGATACTTCGATGTAACCTTGAACTTCAATCTAACTCTAGAGGCTGCTAATTAGTGCTCAGCCAAAGAACAATAAGCAACAGGGTGTCACTCCTCCCATTCCTTAGCTTTTGTGGACTGAGAATTGTGCTGAAAGTTCTTGAGGAAGTCAGTTAGAAACATATATTCACAGAATATCTTGCTTGTCAAGGCAGGGAGCCACCAGGTAGATTTTTTTTTTTTCCTAAGGCCAGCTGCAAAGCCCAGGAAATAAATGTTTGGGAGTGGATAATTCAGTGATACTCTACTACAGGCTTAAGGCAATGCCAACGGGATGAGATTGAAGGCAGGGTTGCCATCATCAACAAGGAATAACCAGTCAGCCAGTGAGACATCTGGCCTGATTGGCATCATGCCAACACCTGTTGGAACCATGGCACCTCTACCATCCCAGAGACGAGACTGTCAGAAGTGCTGAATCAGAACTGGCCGATCCCGTTAGCACAACCTGTACACACACCCCAATCTTCCCTGCAGTAGTGGAAGAGTCCAAACCCACCTAAGGGGCACTGACACACGAATGGCTGAACAGCCTTGCACCAAGCTGGGGTCTGGCACCAGAAGTCCTCCAAGGCAGACTGCACACGGCAGATACCTTCTGTCCGACAGCTGGGTTATCCAGACCCACAGCGTGGGGGAACCAGCACAGCAAATGGTTTACAAACCCTGAGCACAGCTTCTTCTGGCCGGGGCTGTTGGCATCCACATTCCTGCCCCTCGGCTTCTCCAGTGCAGGGCACTGCTCCAGATCAGAGACTCACACTCAAACCCTGCAGGAGGAGGGAGCTGGCGCCCCTGCTCTGCCTACCCCTGCTCAGTCCCCTGGATGCTCTAGACCTTGTCAAAAGTAGCAGGAGGGGAACTGAAGCCTTCCTAACCAGCCTCGCGTTAGCTTCGGCGTCGGTTAATATTCTGGAAGTTTCCTCCTAAGTCCTCCTAGATTCTAAGTGTTTTGGAACTCTGAAGTCATAAGCCGCTTAGGGTGGTAAGCCTGCTTACGGGCTCTGCGTGATTCTCCTTGATGGCCTAGTTTGAAGAGATTCCTATTGGGTTTCCCTGGGATCACAAGCCCACACAAAAGACCTCTGTGCACCCCAGGCACAGCGCACTGCTTGGAGTCCTCTGGACACAGACGTGAGGTGGAGGAGAAAGCGGGACTAGTATTTCCAGAGGGGCCACAGCGATGAAGGGTTTGGGGGCTGGCGCTAACAGAGAGGGGCTGAGATAGGGGAGCTGGGACTGGGGCGAGGAGACTCCTCCTACAGTTAAGTCCAAGTTCCCACAACCCGGAGGAGAAGGCTCAGGGAACCCACAATAGGTCCCATTTGGGCAAGCATGGAGTGGTGACACTGCAAGGGACCTGGTGTCCAGTCCCGAGAGGAGCGGGCCGAACAGCTGCCCGGCGATCCCAGGGGAGTGACGGCGCTGAGGGAGCGGGTTCGCGCGGAGGGCAACTCACGGAGGAGAAGTTGTGTGGACCGCAGAGCTCGCCGCGGTACTTGCAGGAGAGCAGCATGTCCTCAAGCTGGTGGCCCAGGCGGTCCATGAAGGCGGCGCTGATGCCCTCGAAGTGGCGCGGCGGCAGGAAGAGGCGGAAGTCCGCCAGCTTGCGGAACCACTGGC